TTTTGAGGGGCAGCGGCGGGGGGATCTCCTCGCTGTGGGCCCGGCGGGGCGCGGGGCGCGAGGGCACCAGGATGCTCTCGTAGGTCTTGTTGGTGATGTCCATCCCCATGCAGCTCCAGCGGGTCTGGGGGCAGGCGGGGGGGGGGCTGGCGGCCAGTGGCGACGTGCCCTTGAAGGAGCGCTGGAGGGGGCTCACCTGGGGGAAGAAACCTGGCTCCAGGGCTGCCCCTGCTGCTGTCAGCCCCCCCCAATAGGGTCTGCACCCCCCCAGCGCCCTTGCTGGGGACATGAGGTCCCCCCACTTGCCACCATCCCACAGGCACCTTCTCCTCCAGCTCGTCCTCGCTGTCGTAGGGGAACTCCTGGGGGGGGTCCCAGTCGTAGTCGACGTGGATCTGCAGGGAGAGCTTCCCTGCCTGTGCCTGCTCCAGCTGCCAGACAGGGCAGGTCAGGGGGGTCTCAGCACCGGGGAATAAGTTCTGACAGCCCCCCACTTCTATGCTAGCCCTCCCCCAGTGCTTCAGTCCCCTCACCCCAGCCTGAGCATCTCCCCCATCCCTCCATCCCACCTACCAGCTCTTCACACTCGGTGTGCTTGAGCCTCCTCGCCACATCCAAAGCCGTCTCGCCCGCCGCATTCACTGCCCGAGGGACAAAAGGGGCCAGATCCAGGTTACGGCCTCGCCGCTCTTCTCCTACCAGAGAGCCCCAAAATCCCCCACCCCAGCCCCATACCTGTGGTGAAGGCGGCTTTTCCCTTCAGGAGCAGCTTGAGGCAGTTGGGCTTGTTGTAGAGCGCGCCGTAGTGCAACGCCGTGTTCCCGTCCTGCGTTACCCGGTCCAGTGTCCCCCTGCACAGGGTCAGTGGCAAGAAATTCAAGGCTCAAGAGCCCATGAGCATCAGTCTCCCGCGTTTGTGCAACCTCCTCCCTGTAGGGGAGCGGGCAGGGGACACTTCGAGCACCTGGGGACGCACCCGTTCTGGATGATGAAGTCCACCAGAGGAAGGGATGATCTGTCGGCGTGGCGCACGGCCATGTGCAACGCCAGCTCACCTGGGTCCTGCCAAGAGATGGAAGGGAGAGGAGAGCTGGACCCAAGGATGTTTCATCTTCTCCAACATGAAGGGAAGAGAGCTGGGCCTGAGGATGCTCATCTTTCCAAGGGCACATCCCCACCCAAAGGCCAGGAAAACCCTGAGCATGGGCACCCAGAGGGGGGAAAAAAATTTCCATTTACGCTGCTCAGCAGAAAGAGTGGGGTGGCCGTGGCAGCATGGGGCTCACCTGGCCCTCGGGGCTGGGCAGGGGCTTGGCCAGATCGTGGCCCTCGGCAAAGGCTTGGAGCAGGGCCAGGAGGTCACGGGCGCGAATGGCTTCCCAGAGGCGGTAGGGATCGTCGCGGCCACTTTTCTGCACATAGCGCCGCTCCATGTACTTGGCCATGATGTACTCCTTGCGGGCGGCCCTGTGGGAAGGGACAGGCATGCAGACCAGACCCCCCCCTTATCCCCACCGCAGCTGGAGGCACCCTGGGCTCCTGTCTCCTCCTGAAGCCTCAGGATCAGGGGGAAGCCTTAAAAAAAGGTGCAGATCTCCACCAAAATCCCGGCAGTGACAGTAGGATCCCCCGTCTCCCATTCCCAGGCTGTCTCAGAGCTGATGGGCAGCAGCACAGGGACGAGGGCAGACCATGCACTGTGCATTCTTCCTCCTCCTCCTCCTCCCAGCTCACCCCGAGCCCCCTGGCCAGTGGCCGACTCACATATCGCTGCTGGCCGAGGGCTTGGGGCAGTCCTGCGCGGGCAGCGTGGCCTCCATGATCTCGTTAAAGCGGGTGTTTCCGACGCTGACGGCCAGCTGTGGTGAGAGAGGGATGGGGGAGATGAGCCCTGCCGGCCACACTCACCCTGCCCCTGTCAGATCCCCATCCCCATCCTGGATGCAGAGGGAAGGAATCCACTGGACCCCCCAGGACCTTCCCAGAGCAGCATGTCCCCCAGGGATGATACGTTTTTCATGGCAGGGGAAATCTGTTTTAAAAGGGAGCAAATCCTGAGGGGCTGCCAGCATCCCCCTTCCCCGTGTTTAGCAAGAGGCTTTGCAGAGCCCCCAGACCACCGCACTGGGGGCTGCTAACTGCCACTAGGGAAACTGAGGCAAGTTTGCGAGCACTGGAGCAAACTGGGCACAGGTGGGATGACAGAATCATCACGGAATCATTCAGATTGGAAAAGCCCCTTGGGTTCAGCGAGTCCAACCCTCAGCCCGACTCTACAATGTTCTCCCCTACCCCACATCCCCCAACAGCTCATTCAAACGACCCTTAAACACCCCCAGGGATGGGGACTCCCCCCTCCCTGGGCAGCCTCCTCCAGGGATGGAGCAGGAGGGATGAATGCTGTGTCCCAGGAAGTCTGGGAGATGCAGAGGGTGATCTCCAAGCTCGAGGAGCAGCTTACCAGCAGCTCAGAGGTGCTGAGGACATCCAGGGTGAGGGACTGGATGCGTGAGTAATGCACACCCAGCTCGCGATGGATGCCGGAGCACTCGATGCACGTCAGGATGCCCAGATTAGTGGAGAGCCACGTGGGGTCTGCAGGGAGGAGCAGCGTGGGGCTCAGCATCACCACCCAGCCCGGGGTACCCAACCCACACCCGGAGGGGACACAAGCTGATCCCTGACCTACCCGGGGCCCCGCAGTCACAGCACTGTTTGTTTCCTGGCATGTTCTTCACCTCGCTGATGACCAGCTTGGTGAGCTCCTGCACGCCGCCGTCCGCCCCGCTGCCCGCCGCCGCCCCGCCACCGTTGGGCTCCCCCTTGAAGGCATTGCTCAGGGCTTCATCCTTGCTGTTCTGCAGCACCGAGACCCACCTGGGCAGGAGGGAGCCTTGTCAAGAGGAGGAGGCAGAGGAGGAGGATGGGGAAGGCAGAGCAGGATCTGGCACCTCAAGGAGTGGGGATGGGCTGTAGCACTTACACAACGCACTCCTGCTCATCCTCCGCTTGGAAGTGATACGTCCTGTTGTCTGCAGGGATGGGGAGATGGGGGAGAAGGTGAATAGAGGGGTTTGGGGATACCCAAGACCACAGGAAGGTGCTGAAACTACTCCAAAGAGGCTGCTTTAAAATAAAATCAAATCACTACACGTCACTCATCCATCACCCGAGCCCCGTTGCAACCTCTTTTTGTCTTGAGCTTGCTAGATCTCCTTGGAGAGGTTGGTCCTTCCTCCACAACGGCAGCTGGGGAGATGCCCAGAGCTGGATTAAAAGGGCAAAGGGTGCCCAGGTGCTGTGGCAGGGCTGGCAGAGGGCAGACGGCCTCTGGGAAAACCTGCTCAGGATGTTCTCCTCCAAAAAGGGAGCTGCCATCTGCAGCTTGGCCACCTCTGGGTCAAACACACCCACCCCAGCTCCGGTATCCCGCTCCGGGCACTCACGCGTCACCAGGTCAAAGCATTTCTTCTCCTCGGCGTGGGGTCGCACTTGGCAGGTGAGGAGGTTCAGCTTGACGGGGGGACGGTTTATCTGCCAGGTGCGAGGACAAGAGGCAGGTTAAAGGACTGGGAAAGGGGTGTGATGGAATCATAGAATCATCTGGGTTGGAAAACACCTTGTAGATCCTCCAGTCCAACCATGACCCTCACCCTGACCGTTCCCAACTCCCCCAGGTCCCTCAGCGATGGCTCAGCCCGACTCTTCAACCCCTCCAGGGATCCCGGGGACTCCCCCCCTGCCCTGGGCAGCCCATTCCAACGCCCAACAGCCCCTTCTGCACAGAAATCCTTCCTCAGAGCCAGCCTGACCCTGCCCTGGGCAGCTTGAGGCCATTCCCTCGGGGCCTGGCGCTGGGGCCTTGGCTCCAGAGACTCATCCCCCCTCTCTGCCCCCTCCTGGCAGGGAGTTGCAGAGGGCCAGGAGGTCTCCCCTCAGCCTCCTCTTCTCCAGACTGAACCCCCCCAGTTCCCCCAGCCGCTCCCCAGCAGACCTGTGCTCCAGACCCTGCCCCAGCTCCGTTGCCCTTCTCTGGACACGCTCGAGTCATTCAATGGCCTTTTTGGGGTGAGGGGCCCAAAACTGAACCCACTCAGCGAGGGGCGGCCTCCCCAGTGCCGAGCCCAGGGCTCAGATCCCTTCCCTGTCCCTGCTGGCCACGCCAGTGCTGACACAAGCCAGGATGCCATTGGCCTTCTTGCCCACCTGGGCACACTGCTGGCTCCTGTTCCGCTGGCATCACCAAGCAACAGCAACTCTGGTGGGACAACAACTACTCCCAGAGGGTCCATCCTGGAATAACCACGTGAACGGGACCCTCTCTGACCCTTTGCAGCACGGATAGGACGCGGAGATGTCCCTGAGCTGCCATCTCTGGCCCCGCTGCAGTTCTCAGCCTCCACCACCAAGGGGCAGCACCTCCCCTCCCAAACCACCCCAGCCCCTTTGGCCTTGTCTGGCACCTCAATGCCCACCTCTCTGCCCCAGCCAAACCCACCATCCCCTCCCATTGACACCTATCAAACATGAGGGACCCCCACTCCATACATCCAGTCCCAGCTCATACTAAATTTTATGCCAGGCAAATCTGTGAGCAGTTTGGGCAAAACTAAACCTGAAATCCAACGGGTACCAAGGCTCAAAGGGTGACTTCAAGGGGCAAGACTGCAGCCCCCCCGGCTCCTCACCGTGCTGTGGGAGATGGTCAGGCAGCCGTACTTCACGCCGCACTTCCTCTTCTGCCACACTTTGCGGATCCTGAGGAGGAAGAGGAGGACTCAGGACACATTGCACAGCCCTGACCACCCACATCATCTGCCGCCTAAACCACTCCGAGCAGCCCTCAGCAGAGGCCTGGTGGCTGTCTGGACGTGTGGTTCTGCTTCCTGTAACCCACAGAGCACAAATCGTCCCACTGAGCGGCCTGGCCACAGGCCATGCTGG